TTGGTCCTCATTGAGAAGCATCGCGACGCGGAATCATGAATTATTCTACTACAAACTGAAAGATTATGATTTGAATTTTTGAGTTACAGACAAGTAGAAGGGTGGGGGCACACTGGGGGGCCAATCAGTTTTCAGGAGGGGCCAGTGCCCCCATGGCCCCTCCCCTGTCTACGCCACTGTTTTAAAGTATGTCAGTGAGCCTCCGTCTTGCCTTTAATCGTCTTATTTTACGTTCAAATATATGCATTATGAACAAAGAACCGCCATTATTTCCAAGCAATAGGCGGGGTTTTTTTTGTTAATCCTGTCGACATTTAGTTGTGAATGGGTCTCCACACTGCTTGATCCACGCCCGGGATTTCTCCCCTTTGGCTTTTAGGTTTCGGGAAGAGAAAAAATGCCACCCCACCGTCCAAACTTTTAGAATACCGGGTATCAGATTTGCACAATCCATACGCACAACGCGTCGGCATGTTTCCCTCTATCGAAAGCTTGACAGACCTTCCGCGCCTAGTTACGGTTGCTAAGCCACGATTGGCCAGTGGCGGTTTTCGGGCGTGGCTTAGCGAAGGGTCAATTATGTGGCCAGCAAGCATGTTATCTTTACCAATGCCTAATTTCATCGTGCTTAAATGATATTTAAAATATGCGTTTCCTGGGCGGTTAAATAAATATGACTCATTTAACTTACATTCGACTTACATTAGCTGTTTAAGTTTAATTGCTAATATTAACTAGCATTTACTTAGCAATAATTAGCCTGTGGGTATGTTATGTCCTTACATATACCCATTGGGTATCAATTCATATCTCAAGTTCTTGAATGTCATTTTACATAACTTCTTAATATTATGCATTAACTTAAAGGTGCATTGCGCAACTTTTCATGTTAAAAATACCTGTTTTTCTATCCTATACATGCTTAAAGAACTGCCTGATGGGCTGAATGAGCCCTTCTCTGCGCACTGAGATTGCCTCTATAATCCTGTACGGTAAAATATATAAGAGGGATTCGGGCTCGAATTTGAGACTGGGCGTGACGTCATGCGCGTTCACGCTCACCAGGCTATGTCTCGCAGGTTTGTGTATTCGCCGGCGCCGCCATTCTCCGCATCAGCGAAGACAACTCGTGCGTCAAAGGTAGAAGATGGATTCAAAGAGAACGGCTTGTAGTCCATTCCAAACCCCAACGCAAACTCCACGTAAAGTAAAGAAAAGAAAAATTTTGTCTAGTGCCACCAAAAGGTCCAAATTGGAGTCAGACAGGCGTCGGAGTAAGACGAGAGTCAACCTCGGGAAGGCATTCAACAAATGGAGAGATCTCCGGTCTGCTCTTGGTCTCAAACGGGATCCTCAGTTGACTTTTTTCTTGATAAAACGGTAAGATATAGCCCAGTCTCTAATGTCTGATACGGCCAATCTATGTATGACAACAAATGACGATGCGTAAAATGTTTAATGCTTTAGCGTAAGCTAGATACATATACAATCAGAATTGGTTTTACTACCATTGTTAGTGAACAGTTTCATAAACTAGGAATTGTGTTCGGAAGAATAGTACAACATGAAACATAAAACATATCCAATAAAAGATGCGTGTGGTCCATGAGCGTGCACAACTCTGGTTGCAGTTTCGCTTGTCGCCAGAGGGGGCGTAGTTCTGCAAAAACTCAGAGACTTGCGTTTTGCACCTTTAATATGGCGTACTGCCGTTTAATTTTAAAATAAATAAATATGCAAAATGACAATTCATCAGAATACTAACCAAAAGTTGCTTCTGCTCACGCTCTCCGTCTCTGCAAGATTCGGTGATTCAGATTCCTCTTGGCACAGCGACTAGAAGACGTACAGCTGTCAGACAAGGTTTCTCACGTCACATCTCCGTCGTCAAGCTCAGTGTGAGCCGGCGCAGTCGCTCCGCCATCAGGAAGAGAGTGCTTCTAATTGACTTAACTTTTCTCCGTTGAAGTCTATGGGGTCGCTGTGTCCATTTCTTTATTGTCTATGGGCTTGTCGGACATAACGGTAACTTAAAGGGATACTCCACCAGTTTTTCTTATTAAACTATGTTATTCCCTTAACTAAGACGAGTTGATACATACCTCTCTCGTCTCAGTGCGTGCACTATATCGCTCTGTATTGCCGCAAAACTATGTTAGCACTTAGCTTAGCCCATGCATTAAATATGGGCCAAGCAGAGAAGCGACCAAACACTTCCACGTTTTCCCTATGTAAACACAGTTACTCGAGTAGTGTAACTTGACCTGGGCTGGTGACACAAAATAAACCGTTGCGCTTTTCTAAGCGTTTAAAATTGATGACTATATTGTATGGCGGAATACCATAACAAGTGCTTTTGAGCACTTCGACTTGGCGCAATAATATCTTCACTTGTGAAAAGTCCTTACCGGCTCCCGCTTCCTCTCCCCCTCCCTCTGACATTTCCGTCAATACAACCAACGTGACATGCGCCGGTAGTAGTAGTTCGAGCGGAGTTGACGAAGTAACAGGTTGTTGGAAGCTAGTTTGTGTACAATAATGGTTAAAGCGTGCATCGTAAAGGGTTGTGAAAATAAGGAGAATGTAGTGCTGTCATTTTTCACCGAATTCCAACACACCACATACAGCGGAGAGCTTGGTTAGCTGCTTTGAACAAGAATCCCAAAACACCATTGATGACTCTGAAGAAGTGGCGTGTTTGCTCCGAACATTTCACAAAGGAGGACTATACCTGCACAGGAACACGCCTAAAGGATGAGGCTACACCAACAATATTCAGATCACTTACAGAAAGCCCGTGGTCTTTCGCCAGCTCCGGTCTGTTCTGGATCATATCTTTCTTGCCTCTCACGGTCCATAAGAGCTAATTCCTCCTCCGTGTACTCGGGTTCAAACAGATATGGCTCTGGCCTGGGTCTTCTACAAAGAAGTCATAATCATCTACAAAGTCCGCCATTGCAAATGATCTGCAGTTTGCTAATAGCACAGGTAGTAAAAGTCACGTTGGTTGTATTGACGGAAATGTCAGAGGGAGGGGGAGAGGAAGCGGGAGCCGGTAAGAGGACTTTTCACAAGTGAAGATATTATTGCGCCAAGTCGAAGTGCTCAAAAGCACTTGTTATGGTATTCCGCCATACAATATAGTCATCAATTTTAAACGCTTAGAAAAGCGCAACGGTCTATTTTGTGTCACCAGCCCAGGTCAAGTTACACTACTCGAGTAACTGTGTTTACATAGGGAAAACGTGGAAGTGTTTGGTCGCTTCTCTGCTTGGCCCATATTTAATGCATGGGCTAAGCTAAGTGCTAACATAGTTTTGCGGCAATACAGAGCGATATAGTGCACGCACTGAGACGAGAGAGGTATGTATCAACTCGTCTTAGTTAAGGGAATAACATAGTTTAATAAGAAAAACTGGTGGAGTATCCCTTTAAGGGTCTTTGCGAACGGTCAATTAAAGGGATAGTTCACCCAAACATGCACTCACCCTCAAGCTATCCTAGGTGTATATGACTTTCTTCTTTCAGACAAATACAATCGGAGGTGTAATATCCTGGCTCTTCCAAGCTTTATAATGATAGTGAATGGGGGCCAAAATTTTGAAGCCCATAAAAGTGAATCCATCCATCATAAAAGTAATCCATACGACTTAGGGGGTTAATAAAGGCCTTCTATAGGAAAGCAATGCATTTGTGTAAGAAAAATATCCATATTTAAAGGGGTGGTATAATGCCCCCTTTTACGATATCTAAAACAAGTCTCTGATGTCCCTATGTGAGGTTTTTAGCTTAAAATACCCCAAAGATAAAGTTTTACAGCATGTTAAAATTGTCCCTTTTTGAGGGTCAGTAAAAACACGTCGTTTCGTGTGTGTCCCTTTAAATGCAAATGAGCTGGTGCTCCCGGCACAGAGGGCGGAGCTTCAAGAGCTTGTGTGTGTGTGTGTGTGTGTGTGTGTGTGAGAAACTGTTCTGCCTTTTATGTTTAAACTGGAGTCGGACAATGATGGAGAGACTCGAGCAGAAGTGACATCTTGTAGAATGCAACAGGCCATTTCTGAATGGTTAGTTGATGAATTTATGCAGCTGATGTGGAGTTAACTATCCTCAAGTCTTTAAATAGCATATTCTGTCATGATAATCTATAAATTCGCTCTTGTGTGAACTGTTGCAATATGCTTACAGAGTGACACGCGATTGCATTTGTGTTTCGTACTGTATTGCACGTGAAAAGAAGGATGCGATAGCTTGAGCAGACTCACAAATGTGCTCGACTACAACAACCCTTCCTCTTCTCAACATGGACTGCGTGTTCCCGGGGGCGGGGCTTATGTCAACTTTCGGGTTAGGATGTCACTAAACGATTTCTTTAAAAGCAAATGTCTTCCTTTGCTTTGAACTTAAGAGAGTTGTAAATTTGCAGATGTTGTTTATGCTCAAACAGCAACATTACACACTAACTAAAGTTAAAATGTGAAATCATAATCAACCACCACTTTAAAACTTTAAAAACTAAACTAAAATAATTAGCTTCCGACAGGCCGTAAGCATCAATTTATGGCGAAAGAGTGACCTCTGACCCGAAGCATGACGTATTGACAAACGTGGAAGCGCAGAGATTAGAGCAAAACAAAACACAGCTCATGAATTAATTCTAAAATGAGAATTTTTAAAGAGAAATGCCAGAGGAGCTTGAGTTTGTCTCACAGCCCTATTTGTTTGTGAGAGTACTTTCTAACCGCTTCGCACAATCTCTCGTCTATATAGGCCTATATTGTCACTGCATGCTTGCGTTCCAGTCTGTTTATGCATAAAGTGAAGTATACTTTGGCCATATATATATATATTTGTGTTTCACCTCATTCCATTTAGCTAAAATACTGTATTGAAAAATAAGTATCCAGAAATGTATAAATATGTGTGTATGTAGAACTTTACCACAGGTTTTAAACAGGCAGGTGTTGGAGAAAAATAATAAAAACAATACTTTCATACATACATTTTTTATTTATTTTTTAAATAATCATTTAAATAATTATATCAGTGTCCAGACAGCCAAGATCTGTAAGAAAAAAAAAAGTATACACATTTAATATTGATGTACTTTGCTGTCCTTAGCAGGACAACATATTACCCACTGTACAGTGCAGGATCTTGCGGAGGACATGGATACTTGTAGAGAATGAGTGTGTACTGCATACTGCACACTATGCACTGTTTAAATATAGTACTAGATATATATATATATATAAATGAAGAGTTCAGATGCAAAAGCCTCTAAATGCCATTTGAAATTTTCTTCTAGAATGATAATTTTTATCAAACTTGTATATTTAAGTTCAGTAATTTCACTTAAATGGCAATGAAGATTACCTATTAATTGTCATTTAAGTGAAATTACTGAACTTAAATGTACAAGCTTGATAAAAATTATCATTCTAGAAGAAAATTTCAAATGGCATTTAGAGGCTTTTGCATCTGAACTCTTCAAATATAGTATACTACTATTTAAATATAGTATATAAAACAGCATGCATTATACAACAGTATGCTACACTGATCACATGACCTCATCATGCAGCATGTTTAATTTAGTGAGTGCAGTCCACATACTTTTCAGAATTGAATAAAAACGTTATAAATGTTAACATTTTAATCCAATTTTGTGTAAAAATATCTATTTAACATTTTGATCAAATCATGATTCACAAACAAAATATATATATATATATATATATATATATATATATATATATATATATATATATATATATATATATATATATATATATATATATATATATATATATATATATATATATATATATATAAAATGATTACAGTGCATTAGTGCCCATCCACCTTTTTAGCAGCACTTGTTTTGATTTTTTTTCCCCATTCATTTTTTCCAATAGGGATTTTAAAAAAAGTCTTTGTTAATAAGCGATGAAACGATGCAATCAGCTATGAGTCTGACAAAGAGCACAATTTACAATTTTGTGATTCTCTGATAGGTGGATGGCTAATATAGTTGTTCACCACAAATCCATGTTAAACACGATTGTTTTAAAAATAAGCTCAAATAATGCAGGCTGATGGCTTCAACAGAAGGGAATATCATTCATTATCAACCTCCTAGCTCACAGTAGGTCTGTCTCTAATGGTTTATAAGGTGTCTATAAAAATGAATTTCCCTATGGAGTTTTCCGGAACTCGACTGTTGCACTCGGGCCAATTCAAGAGCTTTGCTTTGTGGGATATGTTGTTCTGCATAGAGAATGAGAACATTCTGACCCAAGCTGCCAGTTCTCACCTGCATCTCTGTACTGCACTTTGGTCAGAAACAGGCCGTGGGCTGGGGCGGTCAGGTTATTTGGGAATGCCAATGAATCCCGTGCCTCTAGTAGCTCCTGGATCTGACTAACAGACAGTCTACCCTGACCAACAGCAACCAGCGCCCCAGTCATCCTCCGCACCTGTGAGGGGAAACATCACACACTAGTGCTGTTATATAACATCAGCCGCTTCTCACCACCAGACACGTTCTTTCAAACCAGTGAAATAAAACAGTGCAGAGTCGCACATTTAACACTAGGAGGCAGACATCCGATAATGCAACATAACCATCATCAGGGCTCAACATAAAAAAAAATCCCCACTGGCCCAGTAGATCAGAGTTTTACTGGACCCTTCTATATTTTTACTGGCCCTGAAAGAAATATAAGGAAAAGCACTTTTCCATTAAACTGTATTTATTGTATACATTAGGATTAATTTGTCTTGTCCCCTCACAATGACAGTAAACTAATTATTACATTACATGAGTGATGAGTAATATTACAAAGAGGTATTTTCACTTCAAAATGGCGAAATTAGACTAAAGTATATTAGTTTGCCTGATTATTTTTGTCATTCGTTTAACATTTATGACCTAAAAAACTGTCAATGAAGAAAAAATGAAGAACGTGCTGAATCTGATTATAACAAGACTGAAGCGAACACAAATTTGTGTAGCTTACACTTAATCACACATTTTTAGGGGGGCTAGGCAGAAGTTTAGGAGGGAATTTGATTACACTTTAGATAGCCCGTCGGCAGGCCGGTTATGCATTTTGGTCGGCTTTTGTTGGAAATTTCCGGCAAACGAAACAGTACATGCCCTCATCGCCTTTCTCCACCCAGGTGTACTGTGTTTTCCATGACACTAGGAATTAGGACTGGGTGATATGGCCAAAAAAATCATATCTCTGTATTTTTTGGTTAAATGGCGATATACGATATATATCTCGGTACTTTCTACGTTTTTCTATTTGGATAAAGAAAATCTGTATTTATTTTAAAAAAAAAGTTATTTCACATCCTGCTCAATGATATCCAAACAATATTGATATTGAAGGATATGGAAACAAATATAGGGAATGTAATGTAGGCTATGCAATATATTATGTGCAAAAAGGTTGTTAAAATCATATTACATTCTAACATTGTAACATTACAATATAAAAGCACAAACTAATTATATTAGCCTGCATTTGATTACCCCATTATAATGCTCACTTTCATAAAAACATACTTGTAGGTTTAAAATTCCACATATGGCACATTTATTGTCTCCAACAACAAATATGATCATGTTTATAGGGAAACAAAGCCTGTACTTACTTGTCTGTATAAAAAAGACCTACTTTTAAAAGTGAGTTCCCAGAACTGAATATCTCTGAAAGAAAACAGACACAAATACAAAAATTAAAGAGGACCTATTGTGCTTTGCATTTTCAACTTTCTTTAGTGTGCATGAAAAAGCTCTGCAAAGTTACAAAGTACTCCATATATATATATATGCAACCTAAGCTAAAGGAGACAAGAGGCCTTTTTTTATTCATTTTTATGTTAATTGAGGAGAGGCTTTACTACGCTGAATAAACGGTGAGGAAATAGCTTATAATTGAATGCATCGACAGCCCATCGGCTAATCTTCAACATGTTTCCCCTTAAACATTTGTTTTGGATTTATCGATTTTTAGTTTACACCAAAAAAATGCTATTTTACAAGAGAAGTCACGGACTTTGTGTCAGGTATGATTAATTTTACGCACTTCTCATTCATTTCTATGGTATCCGTAAACTGTTGCACAACTCTGAACGAAATTCAATGATGTCAAGGCTGTAATTTGATTGGTTATCAAGGCATCCAAGTTAGCCATTACACGTTTTCCATATCTCCCAATAATAATTCAATTAATTTCAATTAACATTTATTACAGAAAATGCATGTCAACATTACAATTTAGAGTGATCTGTTACCAGTGGTGACATTGTCCAAGTTTTGTATTTCAGAAATGTACATATAAAAAACAGTTAGCTAACAATATATTAATTTAAGGCAGAAACAATGAGCTCATTGAAGAAATGAATACATGTTGTTAAGAAAATTACTAGGATATATAGAAAATTTAGCCTAATAAGACCATCTCTAGTTGAAGTCTTGAGTTTTCTTACGAAAAACGAACTCTTCACAAACAATATTCCTCATTTAAATAATTACCGTCCAAGGCATATTATGCAAAAAAGGGGCGGTGCCTGATTGAGTTGCTTAAGTAGTGTGCTGAAACACGCTCAAAACGGTTGACCAATCACAACACACTGATCCAGCTGGCAAATCAGAGCGCATTGTGCTTTTCGGAAGGAGGAGCTTCACAGAGACCAGAACTAAACAGGGCTGCGTTTCTCAAAAGCATCGTAAGAGCATCGTAAGTAGATCGTAGAACCGTTACCATCAATGGTCTCTACGATCTACTTGAGCTTATGATGCTTTTTGAAAACAGAAGCATCGTAAGCTCAAGGCAGACTAGGAAGAGAGGTGATGCAACAATATAAAAATAGTAAAAGGGTATATCTTTAAGCTTTTTTAAACCACTTTACATATTAGCTCCAATGTTGATGATGCCAACCACAACATGAACACATTTCCATGTGGGCAGTCAATGATCAACAGTTAGATGTGACCTCTTTTGTGTTGTCTCCCTCACTCACTCAACATATTAATTCTGCCTAGTTGTTACAGTGTTTCTCCCATTAAAACTAAATGTGACAGCTATTTTGCCAAGTTTCCTGCATCAAATAAACAACTGGAGATGCAGCAGGAGCACTGGAGCGGTCAGGCTAGATAACATCTCAAGCAGAGCAGACAATGTTTACTGCCGGAGAGGTTAGACGGGTCATACTGGCTTTTTCAACAGGAAAAAAAAAAAGATGGCAGAAAATTCATTATGGGATTTCTTTGGAATGACTTCATAGAAGCGCTGAATGAGATCGTCTGGCTCTCATTTACTGTAATCATGGCTTTGAACGAACAAACAGGCAGTGTGCGTTACATGAACAGAGATAAGCATACAACACCAATGCAATAAAACCTCAAAGGACGAACATGTGAGTCTAATATAAGCATGCATTTCCAGAACAAGAGCTGTGCTCAATAGAATAATAGCTTACTGTAATAATAGCTTACTGTAATAATAATAGAATAAACTGCTTACTGTACTGCACTAAATTTAAAAATATGCATGTCAAACAGTATCCAATGTTAAACATTTCTTTTTTTTTTAAGAATGTCCATGGTTCCATATCTAGAAATCACACTTTTTAAATTTGCAGATATTTCCAGATTTTCCGAGATTTAAAAAAGATCAAAGTGCAGATAAATGGAGTTATTGTTATTCTCACTTCCTGCTCGAAGCTGTGTAGGTTTGTAACATATTTGCATAATGCCAATCTATGCTCTTCAATGGCCAATCACAACAGACTGGGCCATCTGACCAATCAGAGCAGAGTAGACCAATCACAACAGACTGGGCCATCTGACCAATCAGAGCAGAGTAGACCAATCACAACAGACTGGGCCATCTGACCAATCAGAGCAGAGTAGACCAATCACAACAGACTGGGCCATCTGACCAATCAGAGTAGACCAATCACAACAGACTGGGTCATCTGACCAATCAGAGCAGAGTAGACCAATCGCAACAGACTGGGCCGTCTGACCAATCAGAGCAGAGTAGACCAATCACAACAGACTGGGTCATCTGACCAATCAGAGCAGAGTAGACCAATCACAACAGACTGGGTCATCTGACCAATCAGAGCAGAGTAGACCAATCACAACAGACTGGGTCATCTGACCAATCAGATCAGAGTAGACAAATCACAACAGACTGGGCCATCTGACCAATCAGAGCAGAGTAGACCAATCACAAGGAGGGGTTTAGAGAAACCGAAAGAGCTGATGCTGCAATGGACTTTATGACAAAATTAAAGTGTTTTTTTGTTTATCTTGGATAAATGTAAACCTATTGTAGGAGACTCCAAAATAAAATAAGGAACTTTTAAAATAGCATAATGGGGGCACTTTAATATCATTTAAGTTAACTGGCCCATGTGAACTAGCCAGACCTTGACCCCTTGATTTTAATTGAACATTTAAACATATCTTGTTTTACAAACAATAAACATTTAGGTTACCTTATTAGCTTATGGTCTTTGCCTCATATTCAATCTGCACAATGAATCTACTTTCAATGTCTATGAGATTCTTTTAATACCATTGCATGAATATGGCCCTATTGTAGAAATAACTTCTGATCTCATTAACTTAGTGATTGTACAAACACTTCAGTGTTATTTTCAATAAAAAACCCGGACATCTAAGCTTATTTGCTATTCATTTAGTAATTAATTCATCTTTGTATGACATAACAGATGTATCTGACGACCACATGGGGTAATATTCATGATGTTTCTATATTCATGATGCTCCTCCTGGGTGAAGTCCTCGATCTCAATTAATTATGATACAGATGGATATGGCATTAAATTAACTACTTAACTTCTGTAGTATAAAACCTTGTTTGGATATTGGATAACTTGTTGTTTGAATCCAAGTCAATAATAAATGTATAGTTTAACTGCATCACTTTAAAGTTACTGTGTATTTATTTAAAACACACAGGGTTTAATTTAGGCTCTAGCTGTCAGGAGAATGACCTGATTCTGAATGTTTCTTGAGTTGTGATCAAACTGAAATATTAATAGACATTATCTCTCTCTCTCACACACACACACACACACACACACACAGAGAAATGAGGAGGCTTTCATAAGCGCTTAATAAAACTTTTAAAGGGAAAATTCATCGACAAGTCAAACTTCTGTCATCATTAACATCATTTTTGTTTTAGCAAACTCATATTACTTAGGACCAAAAAGGAGATAGGACCAACATGTTAACATAATTTCATGTTCAAAACAACACTTTTTTTTTTACATAATGTACATTATTGCAGTACCTCTCTTCCTAGGCTGTCTGAAATGCTCTGATTAGGTTTTAGTTTCCTACTTTCGAGAAGCCCAGAGTGCTCTGATTGGCCAGCTAACCCAGTGCGTTGTGATTGGCCAAACACCTCAAGAGTGTGTCGGAATAATCGTGAGCTTCAGCTTCACATTGTGACAGACGTTTGTGAAGTAATATATAGACTTTGATCAAGGCATTTTAGGCAGGTCTGAAACAGTGTTCTCTGTTAGATAGAATAAATCACTTTTGTGGGAGACTTCGTAACTTTGCAGATCTTATACATGCACAAACAGATCCAATACACTAAAGGAAAAGGAAAACGTTCAATGTTCACACTGCTGTTAACGACAGATGGCATACTAAGACAAAGTTTTCGTCCTTTTTTGAGGAACTGGTCCACCTTTCAAGAGAAAACAAAACTTCTGTGTGAATTTCTTGGGCTGTGAAGCAAAATGCCTTGATCTGGTTTTGATGCAGACATTCAGTTACATAGTGACATGCTATGAGTGTGTGTAGATGATAAAAGTGGCTGATGATCCCCTGCAGATCTTGATATTAGTGTGAAACAGAGCAGATGGTGTGTGTGTGTGTCCTGACTGCTCTCTACCAGCTGAGATGACCCGCTGAAGGGATCCCAGTGTGAGCTGGTTTTAAACATATGCCCCTCAATGCAAGTTTAATAGCGTAACGAGGGATTTATAAGCTATTTTTTGTTGACTGCCATTTTGTACAACGACAAAAAAAACATTCCACAACAAATTTCCTGGTTAAACATTAAAGCACACTAGTGTGATAAACAGTCCACATTTTATATATATATATATATTATGTAAAATTGACAAAATTATCCACAAATAACGCTTTTTTCACTCAAAAACTGAGGTACGTAAGCTCGGATAAAAAAGGCCTATGATCGATCAGTTCAAAAATAAATACAAAACCTAATTGAAAGAAAACAAGTTGACAAAAAGATTGAATCCAATATTTGGTGATGATATTGCTAACGAGAGATTTCTAAGCAATTTTTTACAGGCCGATCATTTTTGACCGGGAACACCACAAGTGTTATGGGGTTCTCAACACAGCACAAGGGATATATACACTCACCTAAAGGATTATTAGGAACACCTGTTAAATTTCTCATTAATTGAGCGTCAGCGTCAGTTCTGGCAGGCCAGGTAGTCAAGCCGCTGCTTATGCTATTTGCTATCAACACTGTCCCGTCAGCTGATCTGCTCCAGCTGAGCCGCATTAGCTGATTAACTCCCCTCGCTGCTCAATGGCCAAAGCTCAAACAAGGCGCCCTATTTAAAGCTCATTCACCTTGCTCATACATGCTTGCTGCTCGCTCTGCTGGCTCGCTGCTCGCTTCTGCTGCAATATTGACACAGGATTCGACGTGATTCGTTCTCCATTCATCTCTGAAGTTTTCACGAAGCTAAGTTCCTTTTAATATTCATTGCTAAAAGCATCGGTGTGTTGGCAACATGCTTGTTGTTAATGCTATCGGTGTGGCATTTGGGCTTATCTAATAGTCGTTTTCGTAAAAATGCTATGCGATCATATTGGCTATGTGCGTTACTATTGTTGTCATTGGCAACTGATCGCGTTGTTCACGCTGGCTTTTACCACTATGCAGCGCAGATTCAAGCAGCTTGCTGTGATAGGTATTAACTTCTGCGGACTGCCTCCGGACCGTATACAGCTCATTCTTACGCATTGTGCAGCAACTACGGCGGCGACACTCGCGCCGGTTTAACCCTTTAGGCTATGGGGCGGTGGTTTCTGCTGCTTACGAACGATACCGATGTTCGGGATATTCTTGACGCCCAGGAAGCCATGAGCTCAAGTCTCTAATTTGTTTAGTTTATAAAACACATTTGATCATTATTTTGCTCGCGCTCTGCTCAGTTAACGCCCCTGAATGCGCTATCAGCTGTTAATTTATTCATCTAGCTCATTCTCAGAGGTGGATTAGTCATCTATCCATAGAGCTTACACTGTAGACTGTCAAACAGTTTAAAGAAAGATAATCTAGGTAACAGCATGTTTTAGCTATTGCGGTCTTGATTAGTCATTTCAGTAATTAATATTTTTACTATTATAAATCGCTAAATTAGGGCGGCTCAGTCGACACCGTTCGAGACACTCAATTTTGTTTTGGGGGGAATAGCTCATGTAGTCAAATAAATCATCCTCTGTATCACAGAGGATTGCCAGGTGTGGTTTTGTTTGGGGGGATATTTTAGCTCTCACAGTCTAAAACTGTGTGAGCGTTCCCTAATGCTGCTGCTGCTGTCCTCTGACTCTCTGCTATTTCATGGTGCTCATGAAAGGTCAGAGGACTCCCTGAACAGAGCCATACCGCCAAATTTCAATTCAGGAACATCAATCTGTTTGCAATCTATTCAATTAAATTCTAAATTATTTTGTCTGTGTGTTCTTGACTTAATGGACCTGACAGAAATGCAATTATCTAATCAACCAATCACATGGCAGTTGCTTCAATGCATTTAGGGGTGTGGTCCTGGTCAAGACAATCTCCTGAACTGCAAACTGAATGTCAGAATGGGAAAGAAAGGTGATTTAAGCAATTTTGAGCGAGGCATGTTTGTTGGTGCCAGACGGGCCGGTCTGAGTATTTCACAATCTGCTCAGTTACTGGGATTTTCACGCACAACCATTTCTAGGGTTTACAAAGAATGGTGTGAAAAGGGAAAAGCATCCAGTATGCGGCAGTCCTGTGGGCGAAAATGCCTTGTTGATGCTAGAGGTCAGAGGAGAAAGGGCCGACTGATTCAAGCTGATAGAAGAGCAACTTTGACTGAAATAACCACTCGTTACAACCGAGGTATGCAGCAAAGCATTTGTGAAGCCACAACATGCACAACCTTGAGGCGGATGGGCTACAACAGCAGAAGACCCCACCGGGTACCACTCATCTCCACTACAAATAGGAAAAAGAGGCTACAATTTGCAAGAGCTCACCAAAATTGGACAGTTGAAGACTGGAAAAATGTTGCCTGGTCTGATGAGTCTCGATTTCTGTTGAGACATTCAGATGGTAGAGTCAGAATTTGGCGTAAACAGAATGAGAACATGGATCCATCATGCCTTGTTACCACTGTGCAGGCTGGTGGTGGTGGTGTAATGGTGTGGGGGATGTTTTCTTGGGACACTTTAGGCCCCTTAGTGCCAATTGGGCATCGTTTAAATGCCACGGCCTACCTGAGCATTGTTTCTGACCATGTCCATCCCTTTATGGCCACCATGTACCCATCCTCTGATGGCTACTTCCAGCAGGATAATGCACCATGTCACAAAGCTCGAATCATTTCAAATTGGTTTCTTGAACATGACAATGAGTTCACTGTACTAAAATGGCCCCCACAGTCACCAGATCTCAACCCAATAGAGCATCTTTGGGATGTGGTGGAACGGGAGCTTCGTGCCCTGGATGTGCATCCCACAAATCTCCATCAACTGCAAGATGCTATCCTATCAATATGGGCCAACATTCCTAAAGAATGCTTTCAGCACCTTGTTGAATCAATGCCACGTAGAATTAAGGCAGTTCTGAAGGCGAAAGGGGGTCAAACACAGTATTAGTATGGTGTTCCTAATATTCCTTTAGGTGAGTGTGTATATATATAGATAGATATAGAGCGGGCAGTTGTGGCCAAATGGTTAGAGTCGGACTAGTAGGAAATGTAGGTGGGGGAGAGAATTAACAGCGCTCTCTTCCACTCCCATTACCCACAACTGAGGAGCAAGGCACATAATCAAATACTGAATGCCTCTTTTGGTATTTGCCCAAAATAGTTTTGTTACTAAAATGTTTTCTTCAGTACACTGAACTGAGCTGAAGGAGTATGGAAAGGATAGTATAAAAATGGCCATTCTTCACTGTATCTGACAGGCTATAGAGTCAGTGTCTGTCCCTCAGCTCATTACAGCAAGAGTAAGCAGCCAACCCGCTTTTGTCAGCATCGTGCTTTAGTCCAACATCTGTTGCCTAGCAACAGTCTCATCGCACATGCCCAACTCAAGAGCCGACTGATGAAAGAACAGCCTCAAAGACTGGCCATCCTCTGTTGTATAAAGCAGTTTTGCCTTTCATACTGTGTGTTAAGCATTTATGACATTTCTACATGATATTAAACAATGTACACATTGCTTTAGCTTGGGAGCCGATAATGACCAGTGGTTGAACATGTTACTGACCATAAAAAAATCATAATTATTGATGCACAAATGTACTATAGCTGTAGAATGAATTTGCATTAGCGAGTATTGACAGCATGTTGTAATTTCTGATCCACTATTCATGGATTAGATGACCTTTGGCCTTGATGTTCAGCCATATTATCTTTCTAGGAAATCAGAAGCTATTTATATGATTCTGTGCCAAATGACACATCTGCACATTTAATCCCTCTACACATACTGTTGAGAAGTGGCTCTTAAAATAAAACGGCAAGATTTCAACTGCATTTCCCAAATGACAGAATTAAATCTGGCAAATTTCGAAGAAAGCTGCACTTAAAGGCTTAAAGGCACAGTATGTAATTTTCGGCGTAGCTTGATGACGCTGTGAAGGAGCGTGGAATGATGGGAGTTGTCGTCTTCACCTCCACAGCCAATGAAAATCCATCCGACGGGACTCACAAATCATGTTCATGGATGAGGTAATGAAATAAAGTTTTATAACAGTTACGTTTGATCACATGATTTTATTTCATTCTTATGAATAAGCCGCAAGTAACGTATGTTTAATTCTAAATGACTACTCATATATGTCACTTTATTTGTCTAATTAAATGGTGGGGTAACACAGTGCAGTTTTACGTGTTCAACATTTGAATGTACCCACAGGCTGACTTACTATTTATGTATAACACATACTGTATATAATTCCACTGCCATTGGCTTGTTAAAGTGTTAAGAAATGCCACACTGATATTGATCCTCATTTTATTTCTCTTTTTTCATGAGACTCACTGTGTTGGCATGAATTCTACGGCAGTAAAAGTGGAAACCGAGGATAAAGCGGACATGACCTCATTGACAGATGACGCAATGAGGGGGGACGTCACACTGATTAAAACTGCGAATTTCTCTGGATATTGTTGTAAACATTTGGGATAATGTAAGTACACAAGTACATAAAACAAATAACACGGTACTAGCGTTTTTTTGGATATTTTAATGCAAAAATCTTGCACATTCTTCCCGGTGCAACTAAATTTTGTTCCTTATGAAAAACATGTAATGTCAAATGAAACGAAAGTCGTGTAATATATATTTTTTGGTAAATATCGAGTAAAATAAATATGATTAAAAGGCAAGACTGTCAGTGAATAATGACTTAAAATTCAGAAGACTATAAGAGATATTGTGCACAAGGTATTTGGGCATTTTATTATGGTGCCTTTTTTCAGCAGCATTGCATGGAAAATAGCAGCGTGAACATTCTGCTAAACTTCTCATTTTGTGTTCCATGCAACAAAGTCTTTCAGTTTGGAACTTATTGTTATTGAAAATCATGTCAACCAATATTGTTGGTATCATCACGACACTAATTAAACCAAGCTTCCTCCAATCTTTGGTGCTGTAGCTTTTTACCTGGACAGAAGAGAGTCGTACCTGTGAAAGTGTCTCTGACTGAATGAGACCCCAGGCTCCAGCCGGGCCGACTCTAGGGACTTCACTGGGTTCTTAAAGGGCGTCTCTGAGTTCAAGGCCCGGAAGGTGCTGAAGTCATGGGTTCCTGTCAGCAGTGCAGTAGCCTCTTGCATTGCATTGATATTTAGCCTTCTGTGGGGAGAATAAAGTATTGGACAGCATCAAACTCTGTTTTCTTTCGGACTGTGTGGTGACTGCGATCAACAGTATTTTAATACTGCATTTAATTACTTTAGGATATAATATAGTAAAACAGTAATATTATTTAAATTAAGTTTACTATTACTGTTTTCTATTTTGATATATTTTAAAAGGTAATTTATTCCTGTGATCAAAGCTGAATTTTCAGCATCATTACTCCAGTCTTCAGTGTCACATGATCCTTCAGAAATCACTCTAATAGACCCCTTTTGCGCCGACGTCACAGTTACGTCACGGCGCTAGCTGGAGGCAAAACAAATGGAAACTGGAGGCGGCTAATACAAACCAGCACAGATTCGGCTACATAATAAGGAGCTTAAATTATTATTATTATTATTATTAAATGTCATCTTGTTGTGTTGTTTGGTGCAAGAATCAATGAAAAATTAATATGCTGTATCTGGACTTTTAATTTTTAGAAAATATTCACATCATTAAAATTGCACCGTAATGTCACTCTTTACACTGTCGTCTTCTCGGCGCTGGCTCGGCAGAACTGCGGATCGTACACACAAGTCTTTACATGACCATTCAGCACATAGTTATAGGCATCTAGAGATTTATATGCCCTCAGTTTCTCTTTACGCTCGGGTAGGTGTAGAAGTCAGGCCACTCGACCGGAGGTAGCGTTAGCGTTAATCCTGTCAGATCGTCCATCATTGAGTGAGTGTGTACGGGTCAGCCAATCTGGTTCAGTCCGTTGAAATTAACTTTTGCAAATAACAATCGCGGTCCTGGACACTGAGTGACCTTGCACATTAAGATAAAATCGGATTTTCTCCAGTCATTGTTAAAAAACAAGCTAACAAAGCTGGCAAACTAACGTTAGTGAAGCGGCCAGAGGGATCGTTCTGCCTCCACCTAAGCTCCGCCCACAAACAAACGTCACCATGTTTACCAACTGAAAAGGGGTCTATATGCTGATTTTCTGCTCAAGAAACATTTTTTATTATTATCAATGTTGTAAACAGTTCTGCTACTTCATATTTTTCTCGCTGGAAGTAGTAGTTCATCCGGTTTCTTTATGCCTGCTCTTTTATGAAGTACTGTGAATTCGGACATACTTCTTTTGTCACATGCTGTTTTTCGCCTACTATATAATAGGGAAGTTAGCGATTTTGGATGCAGCCAACCATTTACTTAATTCCTGGATGAATCAGCCATTTGAACGAATCGAATGAATGACTCAATAACTTACTCATTTAGACATGTACCGCCACCTACAGTGTTGGTATCTTTTTTAGCGTATCATTTCATTAAAAAAATTATTTTATATTTTGGTGATAATAATGGCTTAAAATTATTTTTGGGGGGTAATTTATCAGCCAAACTTTGCCTCCGCGAAGTGGATTAAAATCGTCCAATGCACAGCTAGCCGTGGATTATCACGCTTACACCATGGTCATGACCAAAAGGGTCAAACTGATGGTTATTTTCATCAGTTACAGCTTGTAGATCTAGCATTCTGCCCACGTGGAATCAGACACAGAGATAAAGTAGTGAGTAAGATTACATTTATTTTAATTAATGAATTATAGCATTTATTTTATTCATTATTGAGAGAGAGAGGGGGGGGGGGGTGTACCTGTGTCTGTTCAGCGTCTTTCTCTATTGACAGGTTTATTATTAAGTTTTTACTATTATTAAGTTGAATTATTTCATAATACCACTTAACAGCCCTATATATATATATATATATATATATATATATTAGTGCTGTCAAACGATTAAACTATTTAAATCGCGATTAATCGCATTAATGTCATAGTTAACTCGCGATTAATCGCAATTAATCGCACATTTTTATCTATTCTAAATGTCTCGATTTCTTTTTGTCCCATTATTTTTTTCTCATTTTAATGCTCTTATCAACATGGAAAAGTGGATCGGCTTGCTTTGTGCAAATGTTTTTTATTGAAAACAACACTGGCATATACTGTGTTCAATTTCACACTAACATTCTCACTTGGAGCAAATAATCTCTCACACAATGTAACACTGTCCATCAATAAAAGGGTGAAAGAAATGCTGACGAGGTCCTGATATTGACGAGGGGGCGGAGAATTCGCATCAGCTGTGTGTGTGTGTGTGTGTGTGTGTGTGCTTGGCCATCATCAAGTGGTATTTCAGACTGGACGTGCTGCGATGATGATAGCTCAGTTCACAACGACAAAACACACAGATCACTTTGGTCTCGTCAATGGAACCATTTGGCAACTTTTTAAAAATAAACTTTCAATTCAGAATCTTATTGGCATCCATTTCGGCGTCTCGCGCTCGTCAACCACTCAAAACGTAACGTTAACCTACTATTTGGCCGGATCGCAAGCCTAAACAAGTGTGTGCGGCGTGCCTGTTGTTTTGTTTCCGGTCTAGCTAGATCCGCTTGCGCTTTGGTCGACGAAGCAACAAAACGTCCTCGCGCGGCACAAGCCATTGAAATGAATGGGTTTCATAGCGCAGCGCCGCGTCCTGTTGCAGAAGCATGTGAAAAAAACGACAAAGTTTGCTAGGCCAAAAAGGCCGGTAATCACACAATAAAAAAATTTACACCAATAAAATGGGTTTGCGTTAACGCCGTTAATAACGCGTTTAACTGACAGCCCTAATATATATATATATATACACTCACCGGCCACTTTATTAGGTACCCCATGCTAGTAACGGGTTGGACCCCCTTTTGCCTTCAGAACTGCCTCAATTCTTCGTGGCATAGATTCAACAAGGTGCTGGAAGCATTCCTCAGGGAGTTTGGTCCATATTGACATGATGGCATCACACAGTTGCCGCAGATTTGTCGGCTGCACATCCATGATGCGAATCTCCCGTTCCACCACATCCCAAAGATGCTCTATTGGGTTGAGATCTGGTGACTGTGGAGGCCATTTTAGTACAGTGAACTCATTGTCATGTTCAAGAAACCAATTTGAAATGATTAGAGCTTTGTGACATGGTGGAAGTAGCCATCAGAGGATGGGTACATGGTGGCCATAAAGGGATGGACATGGTCAGAAACAATGCTCAGGTAGGCCGTGGCATTTAAACGATGCCCAATTGGCACTAAGGGGCCTAAAGTGTGCCAGGAAAACATCCCCCACACCATTACACCACCACCACCAGCCTGCACAGTGGTAACAAGGCATGATGGTTCCATGTTCTCATTCTGTTTACGCCAAATTCTGACTCTTAACATCTGAATGTCTCAACAGAAATCGAGACTCATCAGACCAGGCAACATTTTTCCAGTCTTCAACTGTTCAATTTTGGTGAGCTCTTGCAAATTGTAGCCTCTTTTTCCTATTTGTAGTGGAGATGAGTGGTACCCGGTGGAGTCTTCTGCTGTTGTAGCCCATCCGCCTCAAGGTTGTGCGTGTTGTGGCTTCACAAATGCTTTGCTGCATACCTCAGTTGTAACGAGTGGTTATTTCAGTCACTGTTGCCCTTCTATCAGCTCGAACCAGTCTGGCCATTCTCCTCTGACCTCTGGCATCAACAAGGCATTTCCGCCCACAGAACTGCCGCTCACTGGATGTTTTTTCTTTTTCGGACCATTCTCTGTAAACCCTAGAGATGGTTGTGCGTGAAAATCCCAGTAGATTAGCAGTTTCTGAAATACTCAGACCAGCCCTTCTGGCACCAACAATCATGCCACGTTCAAAGTCACTCAAATCACCTTTCTTCCCCATACTGATGCTCGGTTTGAACTGCAGGAGATTGTCTTGACCATGTCTACATGCCTAAATGCACTGAGTTGCCGCCATGTGATTGGCTGCTTAGAAATTAAGTGTTAATGAGCAGTTGGACAGGTGTACCTAATAAAGTGGCCGGTGAGTGTATATATATTATATCAATAATCATAATTAATATATATATATATTAATAATTTTTCATTGCATGCTTTAAATTATTAAAATTGATTAATGATTAATTCTAACTTAAAAGACACACAGGTCAAGGAACATTGAGATGAGCACAACCTCGACAAACATCCATTTTTAAAGGGCTTAATCCAGTTGATGTGTGGGGAATAGCAGTTCTTATGAATGAGATGGAAAGCCAGATGGAATGTGTGTGTTCATGGACCAGACATAAGACGACAGTGGGTGTTGTTCTGCGTCACTACGAGCCTGAAGCTTATCTTGGCCTACTTTCTCACTAAATATGAAGACAGTGGAAAAAATAGCATTAATGTTCACTCGTCACCTTGGAGACGAGCCTCTCGCTCCGTCGTGGGCTTCAAAAAGACATCTGAGGCACTGCCGAAACAATGCATGCTTTCCTCATCTGCGTTCTTTGGTTTCAATGTTGGCCTAGATAATCATTTGCTTGCCCTTGCGATGGGTCTTGTTTGTGAGTGTGTATAATTCATGTGCAGCTTTTTCCAGTGCTTGTTCCTATTCCTCTCTGAGAGGATTTAGCTTCTGTGACACAGGCGTAGTGATGCGGTTTCAGACAGAAGCGCTCTGAGCACGTGCAGAAGAGCGGGGGTGGCACTCACGTGTCTCGTAATGCCCAGCATAGATCCCTCTCCGTTACTGGCATTTCTGTGTGATGTCTGAGACCTGAAGCAAAGCGGTACACATATGTCCGTGATATGGCCTGATAGCGTGCGTGGAAGTCGCTGTGGACACGGTAAGCCCTGGTGATTCTGGGGGGAAAAGACAGAAAAGCAGACACTGATTCAAATCTGGTAATGCACATGCTCATGTGTTTGTTTTGCAAACTCCCCCGCCAATTTCCACTAAAAAAAGGTTCAAGTTAGTCCAGAGTAATCAAGACACTGGAGGAAATATCATAACACTGGTTCTCATGAAAGAAAAACAATAGTCACTCAAAATTCAAATGCATCTTGATGTAATAACAAACAAATCTGGTTAAGCGAAGTGGTGCGCGCGACACGGAAATATGTTCCTTTATCTGACATTTCAGCCACTTCTGCTACAATGTTAACATAGCGTATTTTTAAACTTTTTTTTTAACCTGTTAACTGTCACCCCCCTTTTTTTTAATAGACATGAAAATGCACATTTCGAACATAAATGGTTGTAATTCAAGAATGCTTTGGAATATAGATGTAAGATTGGTCTTGTTTTAAAGAAGACATTTGGCAGATTTATGTAGAAGTGAAATAAATTAAGAAAGTGAAACAGAAAAAAAGTTATAGAAGTTTGAGTTTATGGAAATGTACAATGTAAAAAAATTAATTATTCATATTTTATATAAAATATATATTTTCAAAACCTGGGCTACTCTAAAACTGCAGAAAAATCAAAGCCAAAAATCTGAACAAGTTGTGTTTCAAATTTTAGGTTGATATCTCAAAAAATGAGCTTTCAGTAAGATTTTGTTTGGGCGCAGTACCAAACTTTTTCAGTAGATGACAACCAGACTCCATTACTGCCCATATAAGGGCGCCACCATTTCCATGTGTGTTTTGAGTGATATGAACCATTATTTCCACAATTTTCATACAATTTATGAAGTAGAGATCCTATTCAGAAGTAGTATGGGAAGTTTGGCAGATTTTGATATGAATTCAACCTCTAATAAACACATACAAAGAACACGCATGTGCGTCATAGCTCGCTGCCACATCACAAATGGTGAATTTATTATTTTTTTCTTTATATTTAAAACATTTTCAGACCTTTTTTTCTAAAATAATTGAATGGATGCTATCTTTTGAACTCTTGGCATGAAAACAAACTAGGTTTCTACAATTTTTTTGCATGATTTTTCATGTTCATTGCTATTTCAAAATAAAGGTCTGAACACGCCTTAGGAGTATGAAAATATTCTTGTTGCAAATTGATAAATTACGGCTCCTCTGTAATTTATTTTGAAAATCAATCACCAAATATGGAAACTAGAGATTGTACGCTTTCAAATGATATATAGTTTGTCAATATTACTTAAGGTTTTTACTAAGATATTATTGTTTTAAAAATATAATGGCAAACGTCCCACCTGTGGGACGGTGACAGTTAAGGGCTAGGATTGGAAATGTGTTAAAATAATTAATAAAATAATGATATTAATAATTAAATTCCATAAACCAAAAAATAAATATATTTTTTAATTATGTTAATAACAGTTTTAAAAGTTTGGAAACATACTTTTTTTTATGTTTTTGAAAGAAGTCTCTTCTGCTCACCTGCTCATGCATTTATTTAATCAAATCATATTTTCATTTTATTATTATCAATGTTGAAAACGGTTTATGCTGCTTAACATTTTTGTGGAAACAGTGAAACCATTCAAAAATTAGTTGTAAGATTAACAAAACAGAAATGCATACTTTTAAGCAAGGATGCATTACATTGATCAAAAGTGACACTGAAGACATTTATATTGATACAAAAGTAAATAAATGTAATAAATGCAAATAAATGCTGTTAATTTGAACTTTCAATCATCAAAGGTACTGAGACTTATACTGAGATATACACTCACCTAAAGGATTATTAGGAACACCATACTAATACTGTGTTTGACCCCCTTTCTCCTTCAGAACTGCCTTAATTCTACGTGGCATTGATTCAACAAGGTGCTGAAAGCATTCTTTAGAAATGTTGGCCCATATTGATAGGATAGCATCTTGCAGTTGATGGAGATTTGTGGGATGCACATCCAGGGCACGAAGCTCCCGTTCCACCACATCCCAAAGATGCTCTATTGGGTTGAGATCAGGGGCCTCATTTATAAAACTTTGCGTAGGATTTGCGTCAGAAGTGGCGTACGGACGAAACATAGGACGTGCGTACGCACAGAAATATTCGGATTTATAAAACCGTGCATCCTACGCATTTTTCCCTTAATAAATCACAATCAATTCTAAATGTAGCGCAGCTTTTGCGGCTTCATGTCACACCCATAGTTGCCCATAAATAGTCCGTGAAACGCCCATAAGTTAATATTCATCGATTGCGAAATCATGGCAAACATAGAGAGGAAATCAAAAAAACTTAACTTCACTCAATGTGAAGTAGAAGTTATCGTTGGCGAGGTGGAAAAGAGGAGAAAAATGTTGTTTGGAGGCCACAGTGTGGGCATTACTAATGCCAAAAAGGCACTTGAGTGGCAAAAGGTTGCAGACGCTGTAAATTAGGGCTGGGGTAAACGATTATTAATTAAACGATTAGTCTGTCGATTATTTTATCGATTAGTCGACTAATCTAACGACTAATTGAACGATTCTTTTTTGTAACATGGAAATTGCAGGAGTGCACATTCAATGCACAACAATTTTGATCTGGTTCTTACAGAGTATCTACACTGTAAAATGTTTGGTAGGCTACTCAAATGAGCCCTATCACACTTGGATGTGGTGCTCATTTTAATGTTTTCAGTGCTCATAAAAAACATCCGGACTGATTTTTCGGTTTTGTTGACGGGGGTGGGGTTTACATGCGCTTCATAAGGCACACACGCACATTTGCACACACACGCGCAAGGTCTCTCGCTCTCTCCCTCGCTGCGCGCGCTACACGGTTTGGAGCTCGCGAGCTCTAGATTCGGGGAGATTTTAACTAATTTGCGGTCATCAGGGAGCCGCTATCACTATGCAGGAGACTTGGGATGTCAACTCCATTTGACAAAGAGCGCAAATAACGACACCTTTACGTTTGGGACTAAATTTGAAGTATAGATGGGTTTCCAATGACGTCACATTCCTCCCCAGCGCCATCTTGTGTGTCATACCTTCGATGATTTAGTGCGAGCTGGGTTTTTTTAGGACTTTTTCTTTTGTTGGGACTTTTGCATGGCTTTGTTGTGAATTCTGTGAAGAGGTTGCTGTTTCGTCCTCGATTCTGCAATGTTTCGGTCTCCCACGTGTGTGTGGCGAGCTGTACCGCCGGGAACGGTGCAAAAAAATAAATACATAAATAAATAAAGAAGCGTCGACAAAAAAATATGACGTCGACGTCATCGACGCGCCGCTACAGGCCTACTGTATATGCTGTAGCCTCACAACCTCGGACTGTGGCCGAAATAAAAAAGAAATGACAAGCTACAGATGTCGGTTATAATCTACTTGGAAATGGGAAATAGTTCAGCGCAAATGTAATTTCTTGCAGCTTTCTGAATGATTGAGACATAGGTCTACGTCACACGTTATTTTATCAAAAATAAAACAAACTAAAGGCATATGCATGAATACCATGATTCCGTAGCTGAGTCGGTGTTTGTGTTTGAAAGCTCCGTCGAATCAATTCATTAATCCTTGATTTTCTTTTTTACCACTAATTTATAAACAAGCACTTTCTATTTTTATATCATGGGAACTTATCCTCGATACTATTCCTTATAAAAAACAATCGGATTGCTTTGATATCGCTACTTAGACCCAACTTTGCGAATCTCGGCTACTAGCCTTTAGTCCGCTAGCATTTCACGCGTGGCCTCGCGCCTATTGACCGTCTGATTTTACACCCGTTTCACTGAAAGGATACAGGTTATATCCAGCATTTCAGTCCTAAATTACTAGTGATATTGGTAGTATCACTACTAATCTACTGTTCATCTGTTATGGCGAACATATCAGATGTGTGTCTAACGTTACCTCTGAGTGCAGGTGAGGACACATTCGAACTCATTTCGGTACGATTGGAGCTTGAATCGGTGGAGAAACAGATCCGTGGTCTGCTAGAGAGGCAAGCCGAGCTGCGGGATCGGCGATCAGCGCTTGAAACGTCACGCGCCGATGCACACAAGTCAGTGGTTAGTAACTTTTTGACTCCGACTTCGTCCACTCCGTGCGTTTCTCTGCCCAGGAGGACGCGATCATCTCTGGCATCATTCACTCCGGCACCAACCCAACACCATGGACCCTGGGTGATCCCACAGCGGAAGACACGAGCCAGGACCAGAGCAAGAACCTCTCCGCCCCTCCCGGTCTTCGAGATCTCCACCCGGAACCGCTTCTCCCCTCTTCGCGAGTCGGAACGCGACGACGCCGTGATCATCGGCACTTCCATGGTCCGTCATGTCCGTGCTACCTCAGGTAAGGGTAAGGTGCGCACTCACTGCCTTCCTGGTGCTCGTGTACTTGATGTCGCCGCACAGGTTCCCGAGATCCTGAACGGTGAAGAGCGCGTCGGAGCTGTGGTGCTTCACGCTGGAACAAACGATATCAGGCTGCGGCAGACGGAGGTTCTGAAGAAGGACTACAGGAGCCTGATCGAGGCGGTACGCAGCACAGCGCCTGAGGCAACGATCATCGTGTCTGGACCGCTTCCCACGTACCGACAAGGACAGGAAAGGTTCAGTAGATTATTTGCACTTAATGAATGGTTAATGTCATTGTGTAATGAACAAAAACTGCTCTTTGTAAATAATTGGAATCTGTTCTGGGAGCGACCTAGGCTCTACCGTGCTGATGGCCTGCACCCCAGCAGAATCGGAGCGGCTGTTCTGTCGGACAACATCTCCAAGACGTTACACACCGTATGACTAGAAAATCAAATTCCAAATCACAGTCTTTGCTGTGCCAATTTAATTGATATAAGTAGTGTAGAATATTATATAGAAACTGTGTCTATTCCTCGTTTAGTGAGGCCAAATAATAAATCCACTGTAGGATCTAGGAAAAATCTTATTGTAATTAAACCTGAAAATCTAAATATCAGTGAACAAAAACAATTTCTA